GCCGGACGAAAGGGGGGGATATGGATAGGGGGGTTACGAAATGTGCTGCATGTAGTTGGTTTCGGCCCCACCGAGGGGCCCATTCCTAGATACATGGCCGCCTCCAGCGCAGGGAGGCGCCGGGAAAATCAGCTACGTGAGCTGATTCTCAAACCCCCCCTTTGCTATCCCCCCCTTTCGCCCAGCCCGAAAATCCTCCCTGCACAGCCTTTTCCAGGCTCGGTGACATGCAACATTCGATCAGACGTGGCCGTCCAAAACTAGGGAACGGGCATGAGCCCGATGTGTAGCGGTACGGCAACATATTGAATCAAAAACCCGAGGACCGACCACAACGTTGCTTGGCTTGGTGCAGGCCTTGGTTTTGGTGTTCATGCCGTTTTTCATAGTTGGTCCGTACCGTTGTTCGGTGTTTTTTTTAACGCCCCGTTCCGTCGGTCTTTCTCGTTTGGCCCCGGTTCGTTTTCAGCGTCCGTTTGAATCGTTGGGTCTTGCTTCGTTGTTCGATGTTAGCGCCATGTTCAGAGGCCAGCAACATATGTACACGTACGCGGTTAGCTTCCCCTGGAGAGCGTGTCAACGCGGACGTTCGTACAGGCAAGACCGCGGATGGCGTACATGTACATATGTCGTTGCTCGCCCACATGTTGTTTCGAACATCGCTGTGGTCGGTTGGTGTTCAAATCCGTAGGTCGTCGATTGGGTTCCGGTGGCCCTGTGGTCTGTGAGCGCACGGTGTCTTCTCTGCCGGTTGTTCAACGAATAAAGTTTGCCTGCTGTTGCATGCAGGATTGCAAAACAAAAAAACGAAGGATTGCAAAAAAAGGATTGCAAAAAAAAAGAAAACAAAAAAAACAACGGATTGCACAAAAAACCCTGCACGAAGGATTGCAATCCTTCGTTTGCATGCACGCCCCTGCTGGAAGGGCCCTGAGACAAATCGGCAATGGAAGCGAAAACCAGTCCCGTGCCGCATTGTCGCCCCTCGCCTTCTGCTTCGACTTGTCCGCATTTGTCTTGTCCGAGCTCGAACTCACAAGTAAACAGTTTCTGTATGAGGATCTGTCACCATACAACGAAAAGACACCGTGCGCCACCACCATGGTCGTGAGCGCCACCGTGCGCCCACCACCACGGCGTGGCTAGCTCGATGTCCAAGTGGCTCGAGCGAGCCTTGCCCCTCCCCTGCCCACCTATGGGAGGACGGGGGGGATCGGGACCCGGCCCCTCTCGCCTCCCGCCTGATCCTCCAGCACTCAGCACTTTTTCACTCATCCCCATCCCCTCCCCCTCCCTCCCCTCCCTTGTCCTCTCCTCCCCTCTCCTCTCCTCTGCTCTCATCTCCTCTCCTCTCCTCTCCTCTCCCCTCCTCTCCTCTCCTTTCCTTTCCTCTCAACTCCTCTCCTCTCCTCGCCTCGCCTCTCCTCTCCTCCCTCCCTCCCTCCCCATGAGAAGTCTGGGTCTGCGGCAAACTTCACTCGCAGGGGATTTTGCAAGTCGTACCCCACAGCTCATTTGCGGGCGTTTCGATGTTGACCCCCTCATGCGGATGTCCTGTCCTGTCCTGTCCTCCTGCCTCATCCCCTTATCTTCCGGTGCATCTTCGGGGGGCCTCGCCTGTCCCCAGAATTGGTGCCTTTTCTTGTGCCCGACGCGGGCTCGGTGCGGACTCGACGCGGATTAGTCGACGCGGATTCGACACGGTTTCGACACGCATCCGACGAGTGCGACATGGATTCGACACGGATTCGACGCGGATAGGGGCGCAACGGGACAGAGAGGGTCCCCCGAAGATGCAACATAACCCTTATTGTGAAGGCCTTACGGCCGGTGCCGCCGACCCTGAGAACGACGAAGATGAAAACGAGGGGAGGTCAGGGGGAGGAGGAGGAGTGGGAGGTGGAGGGAGGGTGGAGGAGGTGGATGAAGGAGGAGGAGGGGGGAGAAGGATGTGGAGGAGAAGCAAGAGAAGGAGAAGGAGGCAGAGGAGAGCAGGAGGAGGGGGAGTAGAGGGGGGGGAGGAAGAGGAGGAAGAGGAAGAGGAGGAGGAGGCCAGAGGCTTTCTTGGGACAGCCTTGGGCTCTCTTGAGGCCGTCTTGGGCCGTCCAGGGTTCCTCATGCGCCGTCTCGAGGCACGCTTGGAGGCCTCCTGGGCAATTTGGGGCTCTCCTGGGCTGTCTTAGGGCAGTTTGGGGGCCCCCTGGGAGCCTCTTGGGGCCTCTTGGGGCTTCTTCGGGGCCTCTTGGGGGCCTCTTGGGGCTGAGAGCTCGAAATGTCCTTTCGGGTCCCCCGTCTGGGCATTCTCCTGGAGCCGTCTTGGGGGCCTCTTGGGCCGTCTTGGAGGCGTCTTGGGCCGTCTTGTGGCCCTCTTCGGCAGTTAGGGGGACCCTCTTGGGGGCCTCTTGGGCCGTCTCGGGGCGATCTTTGGGGCCTATTGGGCCGTCCTGGCGCGTCGGGAAGCGGAAGAGGCAAGAACGCCAAAATGTACCGAAAACGTATGGGAAATCCATGAATGTTGCCTCTTGGGGCTCTCGTGGGAAAGCTCCTGGAGGCCTCTTGAGGCGCTCTCCAGGCCTCTTGGGCCGTCTGGAGGCCGTCAAGGCGTCTTGGACAGATCGTTCGGCGATTCGGGGTTCTCTTGGACTGTCTTTCGGGGCCTCTTGGGGCACTCTTGGCCCGTCTTGGGGCTTTTTGGGGCTCCAGGACTCCCAGGGGTATCTGACCCCCCCCCCCCCCCCCGGGACCTCCCCCGGCGGGGGAGGGATCGAAGGGAAGAGGCTTCAACTTTGCTCAACTTTGCTTTGGCTGGCGCGATGAGGAGGTCCCTGGGAAAGGGGTGAGATTCGACGAGCGCAGGGAAAGGGGGGAGGCAGGGAAAGGGGACGACAGACGACGACCAACGGGCCAGAGAAGGTCCCCCGAAGATGCAACATAACCCTCATTTCGTCCCCATCCCCATCGGGCCACAGTGTCTCGGTCTCACCATCCCGCCGCCCCGGTCGGGCGAGGGAAAAAACGGTTCAACTGCGCCGACATTGGCGCGTAAGATCCCCGCGCAAGGTCGCGCGCACGCGCCCTCGTCTCCAAGGTGGGGTGCAACGCCGGCGGCCCGCGCAAGCCACCGCTTATGTTTGCTGTGCTATCTCGCGCAAGACCCGTTGCTGATCGTCGCTCAGTTGGGGACACGCCAATCGAAGCCCGAAGGGAACAGCCTGCATCCCCATCTGCGGTGGCAGATCGGTCAGTGTGGCCTAGGCCAGGCCAGTGGGGATAGGGACCCTGAGATTCGACGACGCGAAAAAATTATGACATCGGGGAAATCACGACCGGAGCCCTGGACCCTCTGCAGCATGTTTTCGGGCCGGAGCGATCTGTGAGGGTCCCAGGGCTTGAAGGTCCGCGAATACGCCTGGCTCGAAACAAAATGTGACGGCAGGTCCAGACCCCCTCGCGTCATGGAAGACCACGACGTACGGTTGGCCGTCCTTTTCGGCCTCTCGGGGGCCCTTATCAGACCTCGGGACCCTCAAAGAATGAATCAGGATGAACAGCCGGTCCCAGGGAATGGGTCGAGACCTATGGGGTCGACGTTACGGCCGGATCGAGGTATAAGATCGAGGTCGGATCGGAGAAGGATTGTTGACGATGTTCAAAATTCGTGCTCTTCGTGCTTATAAGGATCCAGCGTATTTCGTTTTTGGGGCTTTTCTTCTAAAGAGGTGATATTCTTGTACATCCTGGGAGAGGGCACCCTTGAATGATCTTCAGTGTGGCCGGCGAGGGCCTGGTGTGCTTGGAGGATGCCCTCCTGTCCTATAGGTCCGGCCATGTGAAGAATTCACGGCGTAGGGGGCCTCAGGAGGCCACGTGCGAGCCCTGCGGTGGGTTCGTGCGGCGTTGGCGCGCCGGCAACGCTGGCGAAGGCGTTCAAGGTTGAATTCTGCGATGCGGAAGCACCGATGGACACGGTAACGCCATTGGACCCGACCGAATCTAACCTGGAACGATCGGGGCCGCGATCGATTCAAGGTTGAACGGCCAACGCGGTGTCAAAACCTTTGCGCGCGCCGACGCCGCACTAACCTACAGTACCCCACCACCCCACGATTTCTGAGAGGGGAGCTGAGGCTCACTGCGCTCGGGAGGTCCCGCACGAAGTGACCCCCCCCCGCCCCTTAGAGATCGTGGGATGGTGGGGTAGGGTTCGCATGTGGCCTCCCAGGCCTGGGGAGCGCTGCCCGAGATCCGACGTTGCCCAAAAAATGCAACATCGCACCAAATGACGACCGGAGCCCCGGAGCCCATCTTCCTGCGTCATTTGTCGAGCCGGATCGATCTGTGAGGGTCCCAGAGCCCGACATTGAGCGAAAACGGCCTCGTAAAAAAAACGCAGCGCCAGGATCTCAGGGACGAGGCGCCGGCGATCCACAGAGGTCTGGGCCCATTCCCCGGGACCAGTCCTTCATGCCGCGTCGTTTGCTGACGGTCCCGAGGCCCAGCGAGGGCCGCTTGAGGAGGAGGAGGAGGAGGAGGAGGAGGAGGAGGAGGAGGAGGAGGAGGAGGAGAGGGGAGGGGGAGGGAGGAGGAGGAGAGGAGAGGAGGAGGAGGAGGAGCAGGAGCAGGACAAGGAGGAGGAGGAGGAGGAGGACGAGGAGGAGGAGGAGGAGGAGCAAGACGAAGAAGAAGACGAAGACGAAGAAGAAGACGAATAATAATAAGAAGACTAAGAATAAGAAAAAGAAGAAGAAGACGAAGACGAAGACGAAGACGAAGACGAAGAAGAAGACGAATAATAATAATAATATTAAGAAGAAGAATACGAAGACGAAGACGAGGAAGAATAATAATAATAATAAGAAGAAGAAGACGAAGAAAAAGAATACTAATAATAAGAAACGAGGAGGAGGAGGAAGGCGAGGAGGGCGAGGAGGAGGAGGAGGAGAACAAGGAGGTCTTCGTGACTCGAGGGGGCGCTGCCCGCAAAACGGCCCGCGCCCGAGGCCGCGGGGGCCTCGGGCGGCCCCTGGGCGGCGCCGCGGCGCGCCGGCGTCGCCTGCGCGGCCGCCGCCCTGGCCGCGGCCGCGGCGGGCGCTCTCGCGGGGAGGCCTCTGGCCGCGGAGCCGCTCCTGGGCACCGCCCCCGCCGCCGAGGCTCGTCCGATGGACCTGTTTTCCACCACCACCACCACCACCACAAGTTGCAGGGGGAGGGGGTCCTCCTCCACCTCCTCCTCCTCCTCCTCCTCCTCCCTGTCCTCCTCCTCCTCCTCCTCCTCCTCCTCTTCGTCCTCCTCCTCCTCCTTCCTCCTCCTCTTCGTCCTCCTCCTCCTCCTCCTCCTCCTCCTCCTCCTCCTCCTCCCCCTCCTCCTCCTCCTCCTCCTCCTCTTCCTCCTCCTCCTCCTCCTTCTCCTCCTCTTCCTCCTCCTCCCCCTGCAACTGATGGCGGTGGTGGTGGTGGTGGTGGAAAACAGGCCCATCATCGTCGTTGTCGTCGTCCTCGTCGCCGTCGTCGAGGCACACATCTGGGGTGGAGGGGGAGGGCCTGGACCCCCTCGAGCCATGGGCAAAAATCACGACGGCAGGTTTTTCGCTGGCCTCGGGACGGTCAGAAAACGACTCGGGATGAAAAACTGGCCTTGGGGAATGGGTCCGGACCTCTGGGGGTCGCGCCATGGAAAAATCATAACGTCGGAGATCTGGGGAGCAAGATGACGACGAGACGACGTGACGGAGGAGGTCGCTGAGGCGCACGAGGATCAGGATGAGGAGCAGGAGGAATAGTACGGTAGGTTCGCACGGCGTTGGCGCGCTGGCGTGCCTCAAGCAGTGGCGAAGCGTCCTGGCTTGCCTACAGGCCCACCAAAGAATGTCATAAAGCCATTGTGGTTTGCACGGGACGTTCTTATAACATGTTTGGCTGCGAGTGTTTCGCTTTAGTAGTTTCAAAAATGGTTCATGTTATCAGAACATTCTTGTTTGACATTTGAACATTCTGGGGGTTTAAAGAACTTTTCGTGGTAGGCCTATACGAATGCCGGGACGGTCAGTCCCTACTCAAGTTCCAGCGAAGGCGTTCAAGGTTGTATTCTGCGACGCGGAAGCACCGAGGGACAAGGCAACGCTGCCCCGAACAAGTGTGATACATGTGATAAAACAAATGTGGAAATCAAATGTGTTCTGAACAAGTGTGATACAAGTTGTGTCTCACACTTGTTCGTTTTTATCACACGCGCTGATTTTTATTACACTTGTATTTTATCACACTTGTTTTTTATCACACTTGTTTGGGCCCGACTGGGTTCAGTTTTGAACGAGGACTGGGGCAGCGACCGCTCCGAGCTTGGAACGATGGGCGCGGCGTCGGAAATCTCGTCGCGCGCCGACGCCGCGCGAACCTGCCGTGCACATGCAGCCAAGACGCTCAATTCTTGACGCTCCGCGTATCCCCACCAAAGACAAGTGCCGCCACAGTGCGGCGTGCTCCACGCCCTTTCGCGCTGTACGGTACGGTCGGAGCTTGGCGCCACGTGTGCGACAGCTCCTTTCCGTCCGCTTCCGGTTCTGTGCTTGCGTCCCCATCTGTCGGTCCGCCTGCGTCAGCCCTCAATGAGGGTCATTTTGTCCTTGGCATGTGTACTCGCTACAGCGGCCTATGTGCCTCTGCAGCCAATTATCTCGTTCTGTGCCCCAGACGATATCTTCCCGCTCGCTGGATCTGTCCTTCGAGCCGCCAATCAAAAAAAGAAAAAAACATATCCCCACCAAACGCGGATCTCCCTGGTTCGGTCAGCTCTCCGCCATCGGTTCCTGCTCGAGAGTGCGCGTGGTTTTACCTGATCCAGTCGCTCAGGCGCTTACGGTGTTGATTCCATCCATCGTTCCCCTGGTTACTTCGCCCATTCCTGGGGCCACTCCGTGGACGGTCGTTTGCAGGATCAGTACTCCCCTCAGGGGACTTGGTGTGCGACTTTGGTGGTGCCACCCGATGCACCAGCTTTGGGCCAGCTTGGGCATCCATGGCAGTCGACGCAGCGTACTGGCTGGCTGCCTCCCTGGTCACATCCTGGTACGACCCTCGCGCCATTTTGGCTGCGCCCCAACCCTGGTTGGCTAATTCTGCACGTGCGCGCCCGTGGACCTGGTCCCTGGCAGCTGCAGCTTGCACCCCCCTCTCGCCAGCCCGCCCGCCGAGGCGCTGCTGAGGTCGCCGGCCCGTCGGCGTTCGGCAAATCGGCTCTTGCGCGGCCCGCTCGGACCTGACTCGCCGCTGGCCCCCCACTTGCGCCAAAAGTATGCCCACCAGCCGATTTTCCCGCGCGTCGCCGGCGACAGTTCTTTACGACCTGTTTTGACGGCGCGCAGCTGCCTGCGTCGCTCGCGAGCGCAAAAGTATCCCCACAAGCCCATCCAGAAACGATGCCCATGAGAGTTGACGGTGGGAGGGGGGAAAAGACACATAGTCAAGTAGCGAGGGGGGGTTGGGAGGCTCCGTGGCCATCTCGAGCCGTCTTGGAGCGGTCTTGGGGTCGTTTGGAACATTTCAAGAGCCATTTTGAGCCAGCTTGGGCTATCTGAGCCATCTTGGAGGTCATCTTGGGCTCTCTGAGGCCGCTCGGGGGCCTCCCAAGTGCCTCTTGGGGCCCTTCTGGGGCCTCTTCGGGCGCTCTTGGAACCCTCTTGGGGGCCTCTTGGGAGCCCCAGAGCGCCTCTTGGGGCCACGTTGGAGGCGGTCGGTCAAAACAGGGGGGTCCTCGATGTAGCTCCCCCCCCCGTCGGTGGCCACGATCCTCGTGAGGGGTCTCAAACATTGGCCCTCCCAGGGGCCGAGCAAGGACCCTCTGACACACCGGGCCACCTCCCAAAAAACCTCAGGGAGGGGAGGGGGGGTTTTCCTCCCCGAAGGGAATAGGGTTATGGAAAAGGAAAGAGACCCTCGGTAGACAACCTGCCGCCTAAAAAGCGGGTGGGCTTATGAGGAAAATCCTGGAGGCCTCGCGCGGCGCGTAACAGTAGTATGATCTAGTCCACACGTCAGTTCCGTAAGCTATGGGTCGGCGCTCGCGCGGCAATGCTCCAGAGTCAGGCCGACGCAAATCCGACGAACCCGACGTGAACACGACGTAAATCCGACGTGGATCAGACGCAAATCGTTTTTTAAGTTGCCGCGCGAGGCCTCCAGGATGTTCCTCATATCGGCGGCGAGCGAGGGGGGAAGTGAGAAGGAGAAGGCCGTCTCAGAAGGTTCGGAAGTCCCCCGGCCTTCTGAGAAGCTGTCTGGCCTTCCCACGAAGACAGACAAAGACTTCCCAGGAGGCGCGAGGGCTTCTGAGAAGTCACGCCGCCTTCTGAGAAGGCCTTCTCCTTCTCATTTCCCCCTTTTCTCGCCGCCGATCGTACACACTGTGCATTTCTAAGTGTTCCAGAATTCTTTGATTTTTTGGGGGCCAAGATCCTTTCGTTTCTACTTGTTCTGTCCTGGGTCTCTTCCTGACCACTAGGTGGCCAGGAACAGCTAGAAACGAACACAATTAGAAATGAACACGATTGGGACTGAACGACGTGTAAGTTCCAGTCAGGACCTCCCTGAGGCTCAGGAGGGGCTGCGATCCTCGGAGAGGGAGGAAAAAGAGGAGGAGGAGGAGGAGGAGGAGGAGGAGGAGGTGGACTCGGGTCCAGGTCGGGAGGCCTCGTCGTGGCCGAGGCTCGCCGTGGCGAGACGGGGCCCGCCTCACTCCCTAAGGGTCAGCGCTCCGGAGTGCAGCACGATGACTGTCAGGAGGGGCAAAAGCACAGACACGATGAATCGCCGATCCCCAAAGAGCAGATTAAAAAATAAAGGAAGTGGGGGGGGTGAGACGAAGACCCAGAAAATATGGGAGAACGTTGGCAATCCTTGGATTCGTGTGTATATCTATTCGTCTGTCCTGGGTCCCTTGAGACTGCCGCACCCCGCAGCTGCGAGTGAGCGTGGGACTGCAGAAACATCCCAGCACAGGCGTCGCTTTCCAGAGGGACACACGATAGTGTGTGAATGGACACAGTGGGGCCTTCAGATGGCTGGATGCGATGCGATAGCAGCGGCTTGCGCGCTCCGGTTCGGCCTCCCTGCGGCCCCCGAAAGTCGCGCACCCAAGGTAGCTACTACCTGAGGTCGCGCCTGCGTGCAGCCGGAGCAACTGCGGATAGGAGCGACGTGGCGGCGGCAGGGTCGTCGGCAGCCCGCGAAGTCCTGGAGAAACCCGCCGCAGGCGCCGATTCTTTCACCCAAGCATCGTGGGTGGGTCGCAGGGTGGATCGCGGGGTGGGTCGATGGGTGGCCGCGGGTTGGGTCGCGGGTGGGTCGCGGACGGGTCGCGGGCGAGGACGACGATAACAACGCGCAGCATCGCGCAACGCGACGACGCAACAACAGTCCGCACCGCGGAACCCCACTTCAGTCACGTACCCAAGGACAGTGAATGATCGGCGGCGAGCCTGGGGGGGGGGAAAGGGAGAAGGAGCAAATCTTCTCCGAAGGCTCTGAAGCCCTCCAGCCTTCTGAGAAGTTGTCTGAGCCTTCCCCGGAGACAAAGGGAACTCTTCAGAAGGCGCGAGGGCTTCTGAGAAGTACCGCCGCCTTCGGAGAAGGCGTTCTCCTCTATCACTTCCCCCCTCGCTCGACGCCGATTCCCAGTGTTCATTACTGTAAGGAGCACTGAGCGCCGAAACTTGAAGTTGATTTGGCGTAGTTGTGTTGCTACCCGATGGTATTCGTGCCTCCGGGGCTGAGAGTTGGACTCTTGTCACATTGATAGCTGTGTGTCCTCTCAGTTCCCCCCCTCGCTCGCCGCCAAAAGGAGCAGTCGGCCCCCTCACTCTGATCGATACCGCCAGCCGCCCCCCGTCGCCACGGCCGGCTTCGCCTCGAAGTCGCGGTCAGAGCGCGCCCCAAGCGAGGGGGCTGCGATGTAGGTTGGCGTCGTGTCGACTGGCGGCGACCCCGCCGCTGGCGCTCAACGTTGAACGCCGCCAGCGACCCAGAATCGGTCGATGTTGAACGACCTGACATGTCGGAAAAGGCCAATCGTTCGCGGTTGGACGATCCCCGCGGTGTCAGAAACCAACGCCGAAGTCGACACGACACAAGCGCGCGGTGATTATCGGTGCCTTTTTGTGCCACTTGTCGGAGGCCACATCCCTGCTGTCCACGGGCGGCGCCGAGGGCGTTGCCGGCCTCGTGCGGTCTTCAGGGGTAGCGTGAAAGAGGCATCGCCCCCCGATCGGTCATTCATCGCAGATGATAGGGGCCCGATGCCCAGACATGCTCCCTGAAAACATCAGGGCGCGAGGTTGTTGGCCGTCTTCGGCCCCTGGGGGCCCTTCCCAGGCCCAGGGACCGTCAAAAAATCATTCAGGATGAAAAACTGGGGACAGAGTCGGAACTTCAGGGACCGCGCAATTGAAAATCAAGACGCCGGATGTCTATGTAGCCCACCCCGCCTAGGAACATGCGGATTCGCTATCGGGGCCTATCGCCGATCTAGCGGCGAGGTGTCGGCGGTTCCGGGTCGATGTTCCCCCCCATGAACCAGTCCCCGCCCTTAACGTTCCCTCTCAGGTCTGAGGGCGTGGGCTGCGGCAACTGGCACACGGCCTCGCTGGAGATGGTGCAGACGGGGGATGCGGCCACCTGCGCCCAGAACTGCCGCGACACAGCGGGCTGCGTGGCCGTGAACTACCAGGCGACCCAGTGCCCCGAGAAGCCAGAGGAGCAAGACGGACAGGGGACCTGCTACATGTTGAGCGAAGCGTGCACCGAAGGGCCCAACGAGTGCTGGGATGCATATACGTTGCCCGAGAGCGAACGAAAGGGCATGGCGATGGGCAGCAGAGTAAGTCGGAG